CCAATTGTATATTTATATATGTATATTCCGTGGTTCGGACGTGGAGCTTGTATGTATGAATTGGAAACTTTCTTTATTAATTATATTCCGTAATAAAGAGAAAAAAAATAATTAATTTTTAGTGTCGGAAATAATGGATAAGAAGTATTTAATTAACGACACGTAATTACCACGGCGCCGAAAAGGCTGAATTAAAAAAATAACCCTTGGCGATGACGTGGAAACCTCACTGTATTATGCCGTCGGCAAAGCAGTGCGCAAACGAGGCGCTTACGAGAGATAAAGGCACAGAAAACCGAAACAACAACAACACCAGCGCGGCTGATGCGGCGGTCAGCGCGGGAATCTGAAACTAACCGTAAATCGCAGTTTGGTTTTGCCGTCGGCAAACCACCGTATAAGCGAAGAGTTCAGGAGCTAGAACAAGGCGGAACACAAAAACACAACAACAACACGTCTGCTGCGGCGGTTGTGCGGATCTTGGAGAAATAACACTTGCACTTGAGTTTCTTATTTCGGTTATTTTCGTTTGTTGGTTTTATTGTAATTTAATTCCTGTATGGGCGGGCAGAAAAATATAATGACATATGTATGGAGTTGGATACGCCTGCAAAAATATATGTATGGTTATTTGCACAGTGGAACACCGATATCGGGAACTGCAGCGACGTACAAAAAATATATATTTGAGGCAGAAAATATTTACATATGGGCAATCAGAACGGGTTTGTGTGGAGGTATGTGTTGGATGTTTCGCCTTATGGTACAGTGGGAACACGAAGAGTGGACTGTATTTTGGAGTTTGGCAGATAAATCTGTGAAGGCCTCTGAACCTTGCGTGGAGAAAAAAAACAAAAAATGGCACACAACAAAAATATATATGTTGACACCGGCGTATATTAATTGAGCCTTTTTGTTTTATTTATTTAATTTGATTTATTTATTTCACCACACAATTTCACTGTATTTCGGCGGAGACGGACTTGCACGGAAAATGTATGTGCATAAGTTATCACACGTATGTAGGTATGTATGTTGATGTACATATGCCTTGACCGTTGGCGAGTGGAGCGGAGAAGCGAAAGAACAAAAAAAACGGCAGGCAATATGGCGATCACACAAAACGGAGACGGATTGAAAAAACTGGGCGATGGAATTAGGGAGAAATGGATTTTTCCTTCAAACTGCCGTTGTGTCGGAAAACTCGGATCGGGAGTTGACACAAAAAATCGTACGTAGGTTGACCGAAATTTAAATTTCGAACAACTATTAACGACCGGCACGTAGAGACGGGAGGACACTTTTTACTTATCTTTTCTGCGGCGGCACCACCAAAGCTGCTGGGAGAAAAGGATTCCAGGACGATATCCTTATCCGGCTCGAAGGACCATGTTTAGGAGTGGGGTGGCTGGTAAAATCCTCCGCAAAAGGATTAGTAGAAAAATCCGTCCCACGAAGAAGAAAAAAACGCAGCAAAAAAATCCAGAAATTAGGGGGTCGAAAAATGACATCGGCGGAGTGCCCTTTACATGCATTTATTGACAGTCGTATTGGAACTAAAACTTGAGCTTAGCCTAAGGCCCGCTGTCGACCGAGAAGCCCAGCTTAACGGCGCGAGAGCGGGAGAGCGGGAGAACCGGGAATTGGAGCGGCGCAGCCGTCCCTAGAAGCGAGCGACGATCGGGAACACGGGAGCGTGCGATCGGGAATACCGAGGAGCGGAGAGCGGGCGAGCGTTGCTAAGCTGGAAGCGCTTGAGCTTTTGGACGCTCGGTGGGCAGAGGGGAAGCAGGGGCCTCCTGGCGTAAACACTCGTAATAAATATTATACCGTAAATATTAAAATTTCAAATTAAAATTTTAATTTCCTTAATTTCCCAGCTCATGTTCTGGCAGTGTATACCTATGATTAGAAAAAGCTCTCTCTTGTTAGAGTAAACTTTCCGTATGACAGTATACACTGTAAGAATTTTTTTTGTATAAATAAAACATGGAAAATAATGGAATTAATTTAAATGATTTTTTTTTTGCGATCTTAATTTTGCTAATATTTTGCAAAGCTTTTAGCTTCTCTAAATAAAAGCCTTAATTAATAACTAATGGCAAAATTCTCTACATTTAATTTATTAAATAAATTTATCATTTATTATTCGTTATAGTTTTTTTCCTCTTATTTTTCTCATTTATTAAAATATATTATATTATGTAATATACGCTATGAAGTACTTACTATATTTTATACATTTAAATTCCTATATTTCTAATCCCTTTTCCTTGCAGCAGTGTTTTCTCGAATTATTCTTTTCTTTTAGAATGTCAAGCCAATTAGAATAAATGTAAAATAAATGAAGTTTTCTTAGATCTATTTATGTTTTATCTTCTGCGATTAAAATTAGTTTAGTACAGAACAATTATGAATTTTAGAAATAAATTTGTTATTATGTTGGAAGTCGAGTAGAGCTTATTTTTTGGAAACCATACTCAAACCAAAGGATGTCCTGAAACAGGATAACTGACCAAGGGATCGCCAGCCTCGGCTGTAGCAAGCGATCATGGTAGGGTGGGGTCAAAGGGAGCTGAAACTCCATCACAGCTTCCCTGTCTAGTTATCCAGTGCCTTCTCTTTCCTTTCCCTTTCCTTTTCTTTCGTTTCCCCTCCGTTCCTCAACCAAGTACGCGAATGTAAATAGTTATTGTACGTCTAGAGAGCTTGTGAGATCAGTACTTCTCTTCCATACCCACTCCCTACTACCGAACTAATTTTGAGCCGAAACCAGCGCGTACATCCCCACTGCAGCTCACTCCCAACATCAGCTCGCCCCCAAAACATACGTTACACGTTACAAAGTGTCTGTAAGTCGGTGTTTAGAAGCCGTTTGGTGACGTCATTACTAACGAGTTGGAAGTTGATAAGCGACGAGGAGATATGTAGTTGTCTCGTTTGTTCTCGCACTCGTTGGCTGAAATACAGAGAGCTGGAGTATCGTTGAAGCGCGTGACAACAGTGGTCACATTGCATTTGTGTGCACGGGTGAAGTATCAGCGGCCGTGAACAGGAACAACAACTACAATTAGAACTAGGGTTGTTGTTTTTTAAAAAAATATTATTTTTTAAAATATCGTATTGATGATATTTGCTGTTAAAAAAATATCACTCGATGATATTTGAAAATATCATAAAAAATATCGATATATTGATTTTTTTTTATATTTTTTAATTTTTAGCAAAACTTGGATAAAGATCTCCTATTTCTGAAAATTTGGGTAGATTTTGAGCCTAAAAATCGTTATATTTGATTTCATCAACCATGAACATCAAATAAGGGCCAATTGAGACATAATAGACTGTTTTTAATTTAAATTGTGAATAAAAATCGTCGAACTTAAAATACAAATATTATACCCGCTCTCAAGCAACTCTTATTTACGATCCCTGGTATAGAAAAATAATAACATTTTGAAGGATAATACAAATCTGTTTTTAATGATTTAAGAAAAACTCGTTCGGTTACATGCTGGTCTGTCATAACAAAAATTAAGTTGTCACTAATGTATGTATGTATGTATAAACTAGGATGTACATACATAAATTTCTGTGTGTGTGCATTTTTTCCCGCAAAAATTTACATTATATGTCTTTTTTTTTTTTTTTTATTATTGATATAGATATGTACAAACAGGAAAAGTAAGAGAAAGAAAGGAAAAGTAAAGGTCCACTCCCGCGGGACTGCCGCAAAGCTATACTTCGCGGGGCGGCTGGCGGTCAGGTGCGGCTCATCGTTCGCCGTCCATGCGTCGGATCTTCTCCCGGCGCCTCAGTTCTCTCAATACGGTTGCTGCCATGTTCGTAACCGCCTCCCAATTGGACGGCGTCTCCAGCATACACCCGATTATATTTTCCGGTGTAAGACGACAGCTCGTTGCTGCTTCCAGGGCAGCTCTATCCGCGCTGAATAGTGAGCATGAGAAGAATGCATGCTCTGCGTCCTCGACGACTCCGCTGCCGCAGTAATCGCAGAAGGGATCAGCCTCGTGTTTGAATCTATGGAGGTATGCCTTGAAGCATCCATGGCCTGTAATCAGTTGCGTCGTGTAGAAATCCATCTGCCCGTGTCTTCTATATAGCCATGGTTCCAGTTCGGGGATGAGTCGGTACGTCCACCGTCCAGTGCTCGCACTATCCCACCTCGTTTGCCATAGGGAGATGGTTCTGCTCCGCTGAGTTCCACTACCCGAGTTGCCAGTCCTGCGCTCCGCTGCCAGTAGGTCGATTGGGATTGTTCCAGCCACAACCAGTGCGGCCTCTTCCGATACTGTGCAGAAGCAGCTGGAGATGCGCAGTGCGCAGCGTCTATATACCATCTTGCATTGTCGACTGTAGCTCGCGGTCGACATAGCTTCCGCCCATATCGGCGCGGCATATAGGATGGTAGACGTCACCACGGTTGCTATTAGCCTTCGGCTGTGCTGCTTTGGGCCTCGTGTGTTGGCCATCATCCTTGAGATGGCGCCAGTGGCCTTGGAAGCCTTGGCCGCTACGTACTCCAGGTGGCTCTTGTAGTTTAGCCTGTGGTCGATCTGGACGCCTAGGTACTTGACCGCTGGGCAGGACTCGATGGTGGTCGACCCGACACGGAAGCTCACTTTCTCTACGGCCTTCCTGCTGCTGATGAGCACTGCTTCCGTCTTGTGTTCGGCAAGCGAGAGTCCGTTGTCCGCTAGCCAGAACATCAGCATGTCGATGGCAAGGCTGCATTTTGTGGAAACATCAGCCAGGTGCTTCTCCACAGTGACCAATGCGATGTCGTCTGCGAAGCCCACTACAGAGCAGCCTTCGGGCAGATTCAGCCTCAGTACACCGTCGTACATGACATTCCATAGGATTGGCCCGAGGACTGAGCCTTGGGGTACGCCTCCTGTTACTTGGTGCTCCTGGTTTCCGGCGTCCGATTTGTATTGCAGGACGCGGTCTTTGAAGTAATCGGCTATCAGCTGTACAAGCTATCCGGATATGCCGCCCCGTTGGAGTGCTTGGAGGACTCGGCTCCAGTTTGCAGAATTGAAGGCGTTTTTGACGTCCAGGGTGCACACAAGGCAGTATTTCTTGGTGCCTCCTTGCCATCTTTCGCCTTCAATCGCATTTTCTGCCAGCTGCGTTACCTCGCGGATTGCATCGATAGTGCTGCGTTTCTTACGAAACCCGTGCTGGTGGCTGGATAGGGCTCCGCGCTCTTCGATTTCGGCTTCCAGCCTGCTGCATATAATCCGCTCGAATATTTTTCCGAGGGAGTTCAGCATGCAGAGGGGCCGGTATGAAGATGGATCGTCGTCCAGTTTTCCCGGCTTCGGAACGAGTACAAGCCTTTGCTGCTTCCAGCCTGTAGGAAAAGTCCGTTCGGCGATGCAGTTGTTGTACACCTCCGCGAACAACTTTGGGTGGGACTTCACTATCGCAAGCAGGGCCGCGTTTGGAATGCCGTCTGGTCCAGGGGCCTTGGAGGCTTTGCAGCTGGTTAGCGCGCTTAGGACCTCCTCTTCATCAATGGGGATTGGTTCCCCCACGGTCACGTTGGGAAGCACTAGGGGCGGCTGGGCTGGGAACAGCGTGGTAACTATTGCTCCCAATTGCTCATGGGAGGTTGGTGTCGGCTGTCTGATTAGCTTTCCCATTACCATCTTGTAGGCCGACCCGAACGGCTCCTGGTCTGCCGCGTCGCAGAGGTCCTGGAAGCACCTGTTTTTGCTCGGCTTGATGGCCACTTTGAGGGCTTTCTTCGTCTCCCTGTAGATGGACTCGTACATCCCTTGCAGGGGGCGTCCTCTGTTTCTCTCTCGCTTCGGGCTGTGGCTATCTCCTGGTTCCACCACGGGACTGGTCGCCTGCCACATCCCCTGTTGGAGCTCTCCATTGCCGCATCGCAGGCAGCCTTGATCCTGGCAGATAACCCATCCGCACAGCTATTTGCATCCCCAAAGATGGCGTTGCAATCCATGCTGGCTAGAAGCACTTCTACGTTTAGGGTGTGTACCCTATACGCAGTTTGCCGGTCAGGAAGTCGCTGCTGGCTGTGCATCGTCTTGAAGGTTATCGCGGCATGGTCGCTGTATGTTAGCAGGTCCGTGACTTCCCATTGGCTGTTCCGGGTGAGTTCCGGGCTGGCAAAGGTCAGGTCGATGACTGACTCTCTGCCTGCCTTGCTGTAGGTGCACCTGTTACCGTCATTGAGGAGGCAAACATTCAAAGTGGCCAGGGCATCCAGGAGGATGGTTCCCCTCTGCGTTGTCCTCGAGCTCCCCCAAGCGGTGAAGTCCCCAGCGATTAATACAGACGACCTTCCACGAGCGTCCTGTGCGATCTCCTGCACCACATCTCGGAAGGCGTCTATGTGCATGCTCGGAGCAAGGTAACAGCTGTACACGGTCACCTCATGGATCTTGGCCCTGGTGTAGCCAGGTCTCGACGCTCTCTGCGTCATATGGCCCGCAGGCTGCCCGCAGCTCCAGATGGCTGCCCCGCCGTCGGTGCTCTGCTGCCACACACCGTCAGGTTTTGCCCTATACGGTTCGCTTAGTATAGCGACGTCCGTTTTCAGCTCCGTAGCCGTTTGGGACAGGAGGACCTGGGCTGCTCTGCAGTGGTTGAGGTTAAGTTGGAGAAACTTAACCATTCTGCATGTGTTTGGCGGCCTTCTGGTACTCTGGGCAGGACTTGCTCAGAGTCGCGTGCTCCGCGTCCCCCGCGGTCATACCCGCTCGGGTGCATAAAATGCACTTAGGCTTGCCATGGCATGTTTTGTGCTTATGGCCAGCGCCTCCGCATTTGAAGCAGGAGTCCTGCGTGGTCTTGGCTGTTGCTTCCGGGGCTCGGCATCTCACAGCATTATGTCCGAAGCCCATGCACTTAAAGCAGCGCTTCGGTTCTGTCTTCTGTCTAATGCGGCAGACGACCCAACCGATCCGGATTTTGCCCTTCTCCAGCAGCCTCCGCGCCTCCTCCCCTGGGTGCAGCGTCGCCTGGAATGTCGCATTCTTCGCCAGCGAAAAGGGCCATGGTGACCTCCTCTCCGCTGGTCATGTCATCCAGGTCGCGAATCTCCACCTGGACTGTTTCATGCATGACAGTCACTTCCGCTTTGCCGGAGATGGCTGTCTTTATGGCACCTTGTAGCTGTTGCGTAGCTGGATCGAGGGGCTTTTGCATCCTAAGCAGGAGCCCGCCATTAGCTGTCCTTCGCACACCTTGCACGCTATTCTTGAGTCCCTGTAGGGAGGGCTCGGTTTTTACGATCTTCAGCATGTCTGCGTAGGATCCTTCGTTGCATTTGATTAGAATAGCGTCAGAGCGCTGTTTCCTTGGCATCGGAGTGCGTGGTGCGCGATCTTCCTCCCGCACGCTGGTCTCAGCTCTGGTCTGAGGGTTCTTTGGCTTGGGCTTGGCCTTAACAAGTTGCCAAGCTGGCTTTCCTGGCCTATCTGCAGGTGCATCTGCATGCTTCGTGCCAGTCAGCGTCGGGGTTGTCTGCTGGCTTCCGCATAGGGTGGTGCGCTCGGGGTGGGCGTCGGGAATCGCTTCTGCAATTTCGAGCTGTAGCTTTTTCATGGCCAGCATCGAGTCTATTGTGCTCTGCGTGACGTGACGGACTACCTTTTTGTTGTTGCTTTTGGTGTCCGTGAACTTCGCGATCATGTCATCCAGCATCGTTCCAAGCTTCTCAACCAGGGCTTGTACGCTAGCTTCGACCTTCTGCTTTTTGGCTCCGTCGGATTTTCCGTCTGGGCTCACAGCATCGCGGCTTCTTTTTGGGGTGGCCGACTCCTCTTCCTTATCGCCAAATACGAACACCGGGCCATGCACATCCGGTGGTGCTGACATCGGGTGCGTCTCGGTCGTGGTCTTTGGAGGCGAGTGTTGTACCTTCTGCTTTACACGCTGAAAGTTACGCAGCAGCTCCTCCTCTGCTCTCGCTACCGCCAGTGCCTGGGTCTCGTCATCCCGTCCTGCTGGCAGCTTCTCCTTGCTCATCGCACCTGCTCTTGGTGGGGTCCCTCGGTGCGCGGGAATTTCCCCCTGCGGGTGCCTGATGGGAGTTATACCGCTCCTTCTCGGTCCCCAGAGCCCCTTTTTAATTGGCGCCGCCGCAGCGGAGGGGTTGGAAAATGGCGAGTTCCTTGGCCTTGTGCTCTTAGCCCCACTAGAGCCAACTGCGGATGTGAGTGACAATTCCTAAGCCCTAATTTAAACACAAATCCAAGCTTGATTTAATCCTTGGGTCCAAATCAAATCAAGTCTCAAATTTAGATTTAAACTTGAATTCAAATCCAAACCCAAACCTGTAACAACGCCCGTTTCCCAAGTCCAAATAACAAGGCACACGTGTGATCTTCGATTCGCTATTTTATTAGCACCGGCACTGCCAGCGTTGTCAGGTCAACTAACATAATCTATTTGCGTTGCGTGTACAGTAATGCATTTCTCTACTTCTTGTGAGAGAGCGCGTCGCTCTCATCTCTGCCATCGCTCTCCGCTGCCGATACAGATCTCCACACCCCTTCTTTTTTCTCTAGACGGAGCTTCAGGTTGTCCTTCGGGTCATGGTAGTCCTTTGTTGCCGGAGTTTCCTGTGGCGTCAGAGTTTCGGCAACCGACTGTAACGAAATAGGTGAAGGAGGTATCCCAACATTGGGGCTCACCGAATCAGACGACTTCGATGAGTCTGCCCCGATGATCTTTTTCAAATGGCTTACATTCCTGGTGTACCACCAGAAATTTGAACAACATTTCCCTCTCGGTTAGTTACTTCATATGTGGTCGTATCGAATGTTGGCGTCAGCTTATGCGGGAATACCACGTTTTTAAGGAGAACTTTGTCACCCACTTTTATATCGATCGCTCCCGCTTTCCTAGCGCTGTCTGCTAGCTCTCTCCCTTTCTCTTTCTTCCAGACGTCCCTGTCTTTCTCTTCTGAATCAGCCGTTTCGCCAACAAGATCCTGTATGCCAGGAATTTTGTCCCTTATCACCCTGTTGAACATTAGCTCTGTTGGTGGTGCGCCCGTGGTCCCGTGTGGAGTGACGTTATACATTAATACAAATTTTTGGATCTCTTTCTTGTAATTGTCGTTATTGGCATGAGCTATCTTTAGGCGTTTCACCAGAGACCTGTTCATGTTTTCGACTTCGCCGTTGGCCTGCGGCCAGTATGGCAGTGTAGGCATTAGCCGAATGCCGCTGGTTTCACAAAAACTCTTTAACTCGCTGCTGACAAATTGCCTCCCATTATCAGTCGTTAAGGTCTCCGGGAACCCCAATCTGGAAAAGATCTCTTCCATCTCCTCAATAATGGTTTTCGATGATATCGACTTGATGAGTTTGAACTCTATATATCGGGAGTAATAGTCGATTAGTACAAGTATATTCTCACCATTTGGTAAAGGGCCCAAAGGATCGGTAGCTAAGCATCTCCAGGGTCCATTCGGGAACGGATGGCTTTTCATTGGGGCCGGATGCGATGGCATTGATACCAAAAGGCAATCGCGGCACTCCTTAACATACTGTTCTGCGTCTTTGTCCATACACGGCCACCAAACTTTGGAACGAAGCCTCCGTTTCATGGCGCTTATCCCGGGATGCCCTTCATGGGCGACTGGTTCACGTAACTTCTGGGGAATTACTAGTCTTGTGCCTCGCAATAGGATATTTCCCACAATCGAGAGTTCCAAACGAAATGGATAGTACGGGCTAGACATATTTGAGTTCCATGAATCCTGGCCAAGGCATGTCATCACGTCTATTATTTCCTCATCCTGTATGCTCATCTCCGTGACCTTCGATATGGAGAGCGATTTAGGAACTGAGGTTGACACCACGCGAAATATGTGTTCCTCACCAGCCCAGTCGTAAGGGTCGGTATCGGTTACTTCGCAAAGTCTTGATAGTGAGTCGGCAATATTTTCCTTTCCTGCCTTATATACTACGCGGAACCGGTAAGATTGTAATCGCAACAACAACCTTTCAATCCTGGCCGGAGGTCGCGAAGTTGGTTTAAAGATCGTTTCCAGTGGCTTGTGGTCAGTTATAAGGTCAAACTGTAATCCCGCTAAATAATAATAAAACTTCTCCACAGCCCACACCAATGCCAGGCTTTCTTTTTCCGTTTGTGAATATTTTCTTTCCACCGATGACAAACTCTTGCTGGCAAATGATATTATGCGTGCAGTATTCGATTTATCAAATTGCACCAACACTGCTCCCAAGGCCACTGGGCTGGCATCTGCGATCAAACACGTTTTATCCTGCAGGTTAAATTATGACAGCATTGGAACTGCCGCAATCTTAACTTTGAGATTCTGGAACGCTTCTTCCTGTGGTTGGCCCCAACAGAACGTTTCATGGCTTTTCAGTAATTTTCTCAGAGGCTCTGTGTTATCCGCCAGATCAGATACAAATTTGCCAATATATGTTACTAAGCCGAGAAAGCTGCGTACCTCTTCTTTATTTTTGGGCGCTCTGAATGATGTAATCACCTTCACTTTCTCGGGGTCAACTTCGATCCCCTTGTCCGAGAGGATGTGGCCTAGAAATTTCAATTTCTGTACTCGAAATGCGCATTTCTTCTCATTTAGTGCTACGTTATTGGCTTGAAATATTTCCTTAACCTTTGCGAGTGATTTGTCATGTTCCTCAATATTGCTGCCAAATATTATCACGTCATCGATGTAATTTAAAGAATTCTGACAAGGAGCCAACATTTCCTCCATTAGCCGTTGAAATATTTCTGAAGCTGAGTTCACGCCAAACATCAGCCGCTTATATCGAAATAGGCCGCGGTGTGTAATGAAGGTAGTAATTTCTCGGCTGGATTCGGCCAGCACCAGTTGATGGTAAGCGCTTTTTAGATCGAGTCGCGAAAAATATTTGGCACCTTTCAGCTTGGTCATAAACGTCTCGAATGTTGGCAACGGGTAGTTCTCTCGTTGTATTGCTTTGTTTGCGCGTCTCATGTCCAGACATACCCGGATATCCCCGTCGTCCTTAAACGCAATCACAATTGGCGATATCCAAGCGCTCGGGCCCAATACTGGTTCGATGATATCCAAACTTAAGGCTTCCTCCAATTTATCGGTGATTTTACTTTCCAACGCTGTTGGCACTCGTCTCATTGGTTGCTTCACTGGGACTATTGACTTGTCAATGGACAGCTTGACCGACACATTATGCCATTTGGGGAAAGGCTCGGCTTTTTCAACTCGATGTACGTCTAAACCCAGTCTTAGAACCTTGAGTTTGGTTGCCGTGTCACGTCCCAACAGCGATTGTCTACTATTTTCAATGACGTAAAAAGTAGCAATCAGTTCAGGGTCTCTTAGCACCGAAATCGGGGCTTCAAAAACTTGTAGCACCTTAAGCAGATGATCAGAAGCATATGCGCGAAACTGGTTGGCTGATTCTGCGCGCGAGTTAAATATTACTGCCCTTTTCTCGCACAATTGTCGCCAATCCGACTGACTTATTAGATTGTACTTCGATCCCGAATCAATTATCATAGTGATTGTATCGCCACCTATTTTACATGGAAGTTCTTCTTCTCGTGATGATCCATGGTCCACTCTGAATAAATCTGCGTCTTTTGGGCTATCTGGGTAATTTTGGATATGGACTTGATTGTAGA